GCTGCTTGAGCTTCTCGAGCTGCCATTTCTTTTGCTTCTAATGCACGTTGATTCATTTCTCGAGCATATTCTCGCATAATTGTTTCAAGTGATAATTTTATGGTTAAATCTTCGCGACGTGTTTCATTATCAATATAATCATCTTCTTCTTCTTCAATTTCACCTTCCTCACCGGATTTTTTTCTATAAAAATAAAAGAAAATATGAAAACGAAAACAAAAAGAAAATTCTCTCATTTTACTTTTGCATCTGAATCTGTACTGTTCGTTTTTTTCGTATCATCATCTTCATCATCTTCATAAATAAATTTAAATGCTGTTGTATCATTAGCTGCTTTTTTTTGCTAATTCATGTCGTTTCTTTTTTTTATATTCATCAAGTATTGCTTTTGTTTTAGTATCGACTTTAACCTAAATAAATACATAATATATTTCATACGAAAATTTAATATAAAATTAAACTGAATATATGTATACACATATATTCTGGATTGATCTCGAATACAAAAAAAACAAAAAAAGAAATATCTCAATAGAAGGTACCACTCACTCTTGTATATTTTTTATGAAAGAATTGCAATTTGTGTTCAATTAATACTAAGAACAAAAAGATTTTTTCATAGAACAAAATCACTTTATTAATCATGTGTACAAATTGTTACCAGATTAATGTCTTTCTCGTGTTTGTATAACCAAATCAAATAAGTTAGGACACATCTGTTCATCGACTGAAAATATCCGGGAGGTTCTTACACAATGCAAAACACTTACATGATTATGTATTTGAAATAAATATCTAATATTTGATGATCCAAAAGAAAAGAAAAACGATTGGAAAGAAAAAATCACTTACAACTAATTTTTTATCTTGAATTTGCCAACCATTAAGTAAACGTATACAACGAAGTGTACCTTCAGGATTTTCATATTCACAAAAACCAAATGCTAAAAACAAAAAAAGATAAATTTCATCAAATGGAATAAAATATTTTACCTTGAAGTTTACCATTGGCACCTTGAACACGTTTCCAATTGACAACACTACCACAATTCTAAATACAAAACAGTTTGTTGAATCACCTCGTCAATGACAATGCATAGTATATGAGTCAGAGTAAGGACAAAGGTTGTCATTTTTATACTGAAAATTTTAGATAACATGTACTACATAATACCCCGATGGTTTTTTTTAATGTCCTATAATTTTGAGAAGATAACCGATGATTCTTCACTTTCTCAAAAGTTTATCTTTTTAATAATATTACTTACATGAAGCATTCGTTTAATCATAGTATCAGGTGCTCGATCAGAAATACTACCAACAAATACTGTTGTAGCTGTTTGAAGACGATTTTTCTATTAGAATAAAACAAAAATAAAGAATCATTATATATATTCAAAAAAAAAACAAACCTTGTCAGTTTCTCCAGGTTTATGAGTACCATTAGTCGCTGTTGGTATTCCTGGTGGTGGTGTTGACATCTAAACAATAAATCATATATTTTGTTTTTCTTCTTGAACAATTACCAAATACTTACATTAGGTGGAATCATCATTGGCGCTCCTGGAGGGAAAAAGGGCATAGGAGGCATCATTGGCATATGTGGTGGATAGGACATTGTTATTCTTTAATTGTTACTGATACAATCCCAACAAAGAAAATTTCGCATAAAAATGCACATTCTAAAAAGAAAATAAAAATAAAAGAAAACAATTAATCTTTTTTTTTGTTTTTCGCATTGCACTAGATGATGAAATACTAATAGATTTATTTGTCTTATAGTTGTTATCTTTTAAAGTTCTACTACGAATACATGACAAAAATTAGTTTGTATATAAGAAATAGTTAAGAAACGATGACATATAATAGAACACAATACACATAACAAGAGAGAGAGAGAGAAAAAAAAGAACAAAAACAAATAACCAGCCAGATTAAGTATAGAAACTGAAGAAAAAAGTCAGTATTTTATGTTCTAATTAATGATAATCATTTAAGATATGGATAATTTCGAAAAACTTGTACACCTGATAAGCCAAGAATAAGAAGTGTTGGAAACCATTTACCGCCAATTAAAAATCTTAATAACATAACAACACCGATAACGGCACCAATCTAAAAATAAATAATTAATATATGAATAGAAGATTTTATTCATCTATATTTACAGCTAAATTAGCAACATTGTTTTGACGTGTAGGATGTGATGCATTATAGATAGACCAAGCGCCAAAAACAATACCTAAATAAAATCTGTTCGAAAAAGTCTTTTACAAAAAAAAATAATCTACCAAATAAAAGTGAAATTGCACTACGACCTTTCAAATAACCAAGTAAACCTCCGAGGACTAAAAGAAACATCTTTTTTTAAACAAAATAAATATCATTAAAAATAAATAATATACTTAATGCACCACCATAAACAAGTCCAATTTGATCAGTCATGATAATGTATTATTATTGAGATAATTCGATGGATTATGTTCTAGAATAGAAAACGAAAATAAATCGATCTACCGACTCAGGTAAAAAGATAAAAAAAAAACATAAACGAAAGAAAGATGAAAGTGTAAGTGGCGGCCATATTGATTCTTACGTGTATTATTTGGGAATACAAAGATGCAGCATGTTCTCTCTCTATTTATACGCATACAATAATGTGACACATTTATGCAATTTGATAAAAAGTTTTTATTGGATGTTGAATATGATTAGATTGTTGATTCGCGAACAGAAATAGCAAAAAAAAAAAGAGGTCAGTAGAAATCATGCATACGAAATAATAGATATAGTACTTTATTGTTAGTTAGTATATATATATGGATCAAGAATTCGTAAAGTAGACAAATTTTAAAGCAATAAAATAGGAGCTTGAGAACGAGCGAGCGGACATTGTAAGTTGGTACATATTGCACAGTATGTTACGGTAAAAATCTCAAGCAAAATGCGTCTTTATGCTTTAGTTATAGGGGCAAAGTGTACGTGTACATTTTTTTGTCGTCAACCAGGTGTATCAGAGCATAAAAAAATTACATTTTGCGCAAGGTAATAAACAACAAAAATATGTTTTATACTTTTCTACGTATTATAAATTTATACTAATATACTTAATAAAATAGCTGTTTGACATACGTATAACGTTATCATTTTGAATACTTGTTCATTTTGATTACATTCTTGTTAATACAGATGTGGAGATTGAGAGTGATTATAGATGATAATATAATTCAAATACATAAAGTAATCGAAACCGGTCAACCAGTACATTAAGCTAGATTGATTCACTAGTAACTTTTATTTTTAAATAAATATTGAATCTTTAAAACTTCAAGAAGAAGTTATCTGATCAAGAATTGATATTTTATCATCAACTAGCATTGTAAGTCAATTATAAAAATATGATTATCGAATACATTGAGTTCTTTATTCTTAGAAGAATATTGAAATTCTCATTCTCTTTATATATTCAAGATAGAACTAACCTTTGCCATTGATAACATATATAGAGCATTTATTAATTTTGTCAAAAAATTTCAGTTTGCTTCAAAAGAAAATAGTCACGTGTTTTTTAAACCTTGATGGACATGTTCGAATTTTGAAATTTACCACTTTCATACTAATTAAGCTATAAGTTAATTATGTACTTTATGGAACTAACAAAGAAAAATATTTCGTCATTTACAATTATTCTGCATTCAAACCCCAATTTAATGAAGACCTATTTGAAGGATGAGTCGAAAGTTTTCGAGTACGGTGAGAGAATCTTTAAGAGACTTAAAAAATTAGTTTGAAAGGAAATATTTTTCACACACCTTTTTATTTTCATATAATTCTCACTTTTTTGAAAAATCAACTTCACGTAGTAGTGGTTTCTCAGAAGATGCTCATAGTTTCTCTAGTACAAAAGCTATATTAGTTCTACAAAACTATCATATCCAACTATAATTAGCTCCATTACATAGGGTCTTACAGGAGAAGCAAATAACTATTTTCTGATATGTCCAAAAATACATAGAAAGTTTTCGAGCTCACATTCGGAAAGACCACAAAGTACCGATTCTTATCCATCTTGTTGCATCCGTCTAGAATACTTTTATATGAATGGAAAATGAACAAATATATTATCTGGAAACTTTCGACTCATCCATTATTATTTAATCTTCTCTAAGGTCAAGCCAGAAGTAGCGTCCGTTGAGATCAATCATTTACAGGATCAGATTCTTCCATGCCCATCGGTTTCGTCCACTCCATTCACACTATTCTCTTCATGGACATCTTCGTCGAAATTTTCCGTTCGTTTTTGCAAATACCGTGTATTTGATTCACCTGTTATCATCCATTCTATAGATGTGGCCAAATAGTCTTAGTTTCCATTGGCAAAACTGTTACTATTAATATAATAACGAGAATGAATTGCCGGGCTTCTTCTAACTCGTTAGTCTCGTTTTTAAATCATCTTCACTATAATTCTTTGTTCGTCTATTTCGAAATCTTCGAAAAGTTTAGCCATTTTTGATTATCGTAGATTTGACTCTAGTTTCTCATATGTACGAACATCGAAATACAATAAAATATTAATGTTCATATTATGTATTGAAGTGACAATGGAAACTTCATAAAATACAATAAATTGTTAATACATACATTACTAAAACAACAACAACTGTGTATAATATTCTTATATATATATATAAATTGTGTACATAACAACATAAACACATACTGTTCATTTAATATATACATATATTACATAAATTGTCATATTTTGTATTATTTCGTTTCAAGTTCGTCTTTTGAAAGTACTTCAAAACCTTCATCAATTAATTTTTGGTGTTTATTCTTTTTATTTATACCATCTGATGAATCTAATAAAATTTTCTCTTTATTCATTTGTTCATTTTCATTTTGATTATTAATTAATTCTTTTTTATTTTTGATATCTTTTTTTGGTGCATTAATAACATATAATGGAATAAATGATTCAATAAATCCAACATCTTCAGTTAAATTTGGTAATAACCAAAATTTAATTTTACCCATTGTTATTAACCATATACAAGCAAAAATAATATATTTAAAAACAGCTAATGATAATAATGATCCAAGTAAACTTGCTAGTATAATTGATAGATAATAAACTCCTGTTCGTACTTGTGTTGGCCATAATGGAAACAAACAAATACCAATACAACCAATAACAAGTAAACCACCTATAATATATTGCTTTATTGTTGTTGGTGAATAAATCCATACATAAAAATCATTGAATGAATCAACAAATATTTGATCATCATGTAATTCAAATTTAAATTTTTTCTTTTTTATTTTATCTTCATTTGTTAAACTTTCAACAGTTGTTTCATCAGTTTTTCCTTTTCGTTGACGAATAGAACGTGGTGTATTCGATTGTGATGTATCATCAGAAGGTTCAGTTGAAGGATTTTTATCTTTATAAACTTTAATAACACGGCGAAACATTTCATGATCCAAAAATTTTCGTAGCATCTAATATTATATGAATTTTTTTTTACGAATAAAATTATTCATTATTTATTTATAAAAATTTTTATCATACCTGTACAGCATCATGTTTTGATGAGAAACAAATTGGATTTTTACCATTATTTGAACATTTCGTACTTATTGATGACCATTTAGATTCAGTAAGACATTCAACTGCTTTTGAACCATTAAAATAAACAACTTGCATACCCATTAAAATTCCTTTTTTTGTTGAACATTGAAATCGAAGATATTTTGCAATAGTTTTTTCTAGCGTTGTTAATTCAGGTAGATCATCAAATGAACGACGAGATCGAGGCTTCTTTCGTGTTTCCGACATTATCAAGAGACAACAATAGTTCAAAAGACAAATATATGCATATTAAATAAAGAATTAATCATACATGTGGCGCCATCTAAATATTAATTTGAATGGTTAAAATAATTATCCATTGATGAACACATAAAATTACAAATAATAATATCTATCCTATTTTCATTTTTGAATTGTATTTATAAAGAAAATATGTTGATGCAAGATATTATAGCACCTGTACAGAACATACATTTCGATCTTGATGAAATTGTATGCTCTCAACAAGGTGCATTGCCGTTACCATTTCCAAATATGGATAAAGCAAATGTTGGTGTATGTGAATTTTTTCTTCGTGCTGGTTGTTCAAATCAACGTTGTCCCTTTCGTCATATACATGGAGATAAAACAGTTGTATGTAAACATTGGTTACGTGGTCTATGTAAAAAAGGTCGAATAAATAAACTGATATTACAATTTTTGATTTCATAAATCATTTTTTTTTCGTGTAGGTGATGATTGTGAATTTCTTCATGAATATGATATGGCTAAAATGCCTGAATGTTATTTCTTTTCAAAATTTGGACAATGCATGAATAAAGAATGTGCTTTTCTTCATCTTGATCCAGAATCAAAAATACGTGGTATGTTTTTTGCAAAAACAAAATTTATTAGAGTTTTATTTTTGAAACATTTAAGATTGTCCTTGGTATGATCGTGGATTTTGTCGTCATGGACCAAATTGTAAAAATCGTCATACACGTAAAGTTCTCTGTCAAAATTATTTATGTGGATTTTGTCCT